CAACCTACAGAATGGGAGAAAATATTTGCAAACTACACATCTGACAAAGGTCTAATATCCAGCATCTATAAGGAATGTAAACAGCTTATAAGACAAAAACAAACAACCCCATTGAAGAGTATGCAAATAATATGAACAGACACTTCAAACAAAGACAGACATGTGGCCAACAAGCATATGAAAAAATGCTCAATATCACTAGTCATTAGAGAAATGCAAATCAAAACCACAATGAGATACCATCTCACACCAGTCAAAATGACTATTAATAAAAAGTCAAAAAATAACAGATGCTGACATGATTGCAGAAAAAGGGGAACACCTATACACTGTTGGTGGGAGTGTAAATTCATTCAAACATTGCTGAAAGCAGTGTGTCAATTCCTCAAAGAACTAAAAGCAGAATTACCATTTAACCCAGCAGTCCCACTATGGGATATATACCTAAAGGAATATAAATCATTCTACCATAAGGACACATGCATGCCTGCATTCATTGCAGCACTGTTCACAATTACAAAGACATGCAATCAACTTAAATGCCCACTAATGGTAGACTTCATAAAGAAAATGTGGTATGTATACTATGTAGCCATGAAAAAAAAATGAGATTATGTCCTTTGCAGGAACATGGATAGAGCTGGAGGCATTATCCTGAGCAAGCTAACACAGGAACAGAAAACCAAGTACTGCTTGTTCTCACCTTCAAATGGGAGCTAAATAATGAGAACACATGGACAAACAAAGGGGAACAACAGACACCGGGACCAACCTCAGGGTGCAGGGTGGGAAAAGGGAGAGGATCAGGAAAAATAACTGTTGGGTACTAGGCTTGGTACATGCGTGATGAAATAATCTGTACACTATACTCCCATGACATCAGTTGAACTATACAGCACATGTATACAGCACATGTATACTTTTGAACCTAAAATAAAAGTTAAAACAAAAACAAGAAAAAGTAGATACGGGAAACGATAGAAACTGAGATTACTATAAATCCAAGGTAAAATTCTAAAAAAGACTATTCCAGATAGTTTATGTACCAATACAAGAGAGACCATCACTAGGAGGCTGTCTAGTTAAGTAAGAATAAGTAAAGATTAGTTAAGTAAGGATAAGCCTTACTTAAGTAGGCTTAAGATTAAGTAAGCATAAGTCTTAGTTAACTAATCATTACTTCCTTTCTCAATCAGGTTGCTAGAAGAGAAAATTTGGAAAAATTGATGATATGTCTTGATTTCACCCAAAACTCTCAGGATCTCCTATAGACCAGCTAGAGAAATAAGAGTTAGGTAATATCCCATTAAATACGTTTCCAGATAGCTTGAATCAAATCTCAGATAACTTGAATTAAGCTGGTGTAGACCTATCAGCTGACAAGACTTTACAAACTTATAAATGACACAACACATCAGGTGACTTAACCAAGATTCATAAAGATTTTGGGGAGGTCTCTGTGGACCATACCAAGAAGATGACTTTAAAATAAATTTAAAATTAAAATCATCCCCTTCGGGATGTATATATGTATGTATGGGTTGGTTGAAAATAGTTTATGGGAGGAAAGGCTTAGTTAGGAATGTCAAATGATCAAATTCTTGATATAAACCAAATGTGCATAGTATTCTTTCACTCATTTATTCAAAAATATTATATACCAGTTGTAAAAGCACGTTCTGTCTTGCTTTGCATGTAAAAGTGTAGAATCCAAACCTAGGGCAGTAATGGTGCTGCAGGTGCCAAGGTGATGAGACAACAGTGGATATTGCATTTAGTTTTATAAGACACCTTGGAGAAGAGAATTAACTATACAGATGAGGCCACCAGTTACAAGCTGGCCCAAGAGTTAAAATAGGGTGTTAAAAGGAGGATGACAAACTGTTGAGGCTGATCATCTCAAAGGATAGAAGACTAAATGGAGATGTGAAAATGTCTTTAAATTTCTTAAAGGCTATTTTCTGGAAGCTTTCATAGACTGCTGCTCAGTTCCTTAGGCAGCAGAAGTTATAACATCAATAGCTATGAGTTACAAGAAACTGGGTTTCTGCTAATATCATACAGTGTGTCAGCTCCTTTACCAGACACTAGGTATACAGAGATGAGCAGGACAAGATCCCCTTCCTCACAGTTGATCCATAAATTCATATTCTGCATAGAGAAGTAGCTCCAGACATAATGGCTTTTCCAACAGTGAGATTCACTCGGAAACTGGATGCCTTTTAACATCCTGAGCTCCCATCTCTGAAACACAAAAGAAAAGACATTTCAGGTACTGTTTGAGGGACTGAGATGGGGCTGATTGTAGCTGTGCCTAGCTGTGGTGTTCTGGTATCTGCCAAGAATTAGGACTCATATTTACCAGGACAAGCAAAGGGCTAGCCCAAGAAGTGTCTGAGCTGTGTTCTTGGAGGAAAGCAAAGAATTAAAGCCCAAAAAGTGGCCCTGAGCATCAGGAACACAAAAGCCACAGACTATCAACAGGAGAGCAATTCTAGAGTCCAAAGAAGAGAGGAGCAAATATAGCCAGGATGCACGGTGTGAGCCTGGGGAAAGCTATCAGTCGGGAACAGCCTGGGAATGCCAGCCAGTTGGTGGCTTGTTGGGAGCTCTCTGTGACCAAGCAGGTTTTGGCTTGGATCAGATGGGCCTGGACAAGACACTGTCAGGGATGTTAGAGATGGGACTTGTGATGGATATCTTCCATTTGCCTCTCTAAGCTCTGCTCACCAGTCTTCTGTACCCTGTGTGGATCTAGGAAGTTGACCTACATCACTTGCATCTATGGAATCCTCACCCTCTGGACCCAGTTTGGTTTAGATAACAGCTAATACAGTGGTTTGGACTCCTTGAAGAGGTCCTTCACGTCCCTTGTTAGCTGAGAACAGCTAGAGATTAAAGAGCAGGGAAGAAAGAGGAGTTAGGATCCCACTGCTCCCTGCTTGCCTCACTGTGGGGTCACCTTGGGATTGCTGTTTTTCTTAGCTGAGGGTCACAGCTCCTCTTAAAGTGTCCCTGTTTACATAGCTTTTTTTCCCAGGATCCAGCAGCCACTCCCTGCCCTCTATCCTCTAAGCCTAGAAGGTGGTAACAGCTCCAGAGTTACCAGCTCCAGGGTACTGCACTATCTCTTAGGGGCCTCCTACATCTTGTCCATCTTATTTAAATGCTTCTTAGATTATACTAATGTGAATGTGCCTTCTGTTTCTTGGGACCCTGGCTGATAGAGGATTCTGGATTGAGTAAGAAGATGGACTAGATTATTTCTAAGAATTCTTATGCTTCTAGAGCTCTGGATTTCTTGTCACTGATCTTATATTTTTGCATACCTGAGTGATGAGGATTAAATTTTCGTACCCAGAAACTCACAGCACATATTTCTGTAGCACATATGACACATATATATTTTATTATTTTTAAAAGAATTTGTGTTTTCAGTATGAATTGCAGATCATAGTCTCAGTTGTTCACACTATGTCTGTAGGGTCAGGTAACATCTTTATTGGTGTCATGTAAAAGAGCCAAAGGGTACTTCAACTGGCCAAGTAACTACTGTTCAGACTTCAGAAATTTCATAAAACAGCTGAAATTAGTCTTAAATATCTTTCATAAATAAGTTGCTCAGCCACACTGATGCTTCCTGGGAAGACCGAGTAGTTAAGGCTCCTCATAATGATGCTGTTCAAAGGATATCCCAGAACCTCAAGAAAAGAATGAGGAGACCACAGGCCTGCATGACCGTGAAGTGCATGACTTCTGAGTCTGAAAAGCCATAGAAAGCAAATTGTCATCTGGCGTGAAGATCATTGCTATTTGACTCAGAATAAGAGGGTTTTGTTTTTGCTTGGTTTGGTTTTGAGGCTGTCTTACTTCTAAGGAGTCATTATCTTTTAGAGATACACAATGAGATGTTTGTGAATGAAATGATATGACAGGTCTGCTTTGCAGTGATACAGAGAGGGGGAAGAATAGGTGGGAGCAGTCACAGCATGATTTGCAGTGAGTGGATAAATACTGAAACTGGGTGGTGGAGATGTGAGGTTCATTAGACTATGCTCTCTATTTTTGTGTGATTTTGGAATTATTGAATATTAAGAGTTGTGTGAATAAACAGTTAAATAAAAAGTGACTTCTTCCTACAGGGAAACTCATTTATTGTTGCTTGGTGCTCATGATGTGATGCAGAAGCTCTATATGTAGGTTTCAGAAACATAACAAGAAAAAACATATTGAAACAAAATATAAGTGAGGAATGCTAATTTTTGTGTGAAAGTTTACCCAAACCATGCTCAGTGGAAAATTTCAAGATGTTATTATTCAGGATGTACATTTAGAGTATCTTTCATGTGAACTTTGCTGTATGGACTTTGCTTCTAAATAACTTGGGGTAAAGGAGAACCAGGCAAGTTACAGATGAAATAAGATTGTTTGTGAGTTAACATTTCTTCAGTTTTGGAAGAAGGATACATGAGAGTTCATTATAGTATTTGATCTATTTTTGTATATACTTTAAATTTTCCATAGAATTATTTTTAAAAAATTAAACCTAGAACGGGCGTGGTGGCTCATGCCTGCCATCTCAGCACTTTGGGAGGCCAAGGTGGGCGGATCATGAGGTCAAGAGATCGAGACCGTCCTCGCCAACATGGTGAAACCTCATCTCTCCTAAAAATACAAAAATTAGCCAGGCATGATGTGTGTGCCCAGCTATTTGGGAGGCTGAGGAAGGAGAATTGCTTGAATCCGGATGTCGGAGGTTGCAGTGAGCCGAGATTGCACCACTGCACTCCAGCCTGGCAACAGAGTGAGACTCTGTCTCAAAAAAATAAAAAATAAAAAATAAATAAAACCTATACTGCACATCCAAAACATGACTACTTTACATTAAGAAAGTATAAACTTTCAGGATTTTATGAAATGTAATATTATGTTATTTCTCTTTCACCTCCTTGTATTCTGTGTTTTCCAATCCATTTCTTTTCTCTTCCCCCACCCTATAGTTTTGTCTGTTGCATGGAACCAAGCTGGTGTTTCAGGAGCAGGCCTGGTATTTAGAACATTAATACTTGACTTCTGTGGCCAGCACGAGGATCAGGAATCAGGTAAGGATGCTGGGGTACAGAAAAACCCTTCGTCCATCAGCTCTGGGCTCTGCTTTCTTAGAAAACAGTCCTGCCAATCTTCTATCAGTTTCCACTCATGGATTTTTATGTTTTTGGGACTTCACATGTATGTTTACATTACCTATCATGATTGTATTACACTTCAGTGTTTAGGTGACAAGGGAATGACACACTGTACATGAGCTTTCTAACATGAAAAGGAGATGAAGGTGTCAAAGTGTTTTCCTTGTCTTGGCCAAAAAAAAAGTATTAATGATTTTTTTTTCTGCTTCTTACCAAAGCCTATTAACACATTCTTCATATTAAGAAGAAAGAGCCATGATACTTTTATGTCAGTGGTAGCCATGGGGAATTCAGTACAATAGCTACAGAGCACCTGAAAAAGAAGGTGAGGCCAGTATTCACCACTAAAATGCTACTCCAAAGAAAAAGAATGTGAAACAGCATACTCATCAGTAATACACATTTCTGATTGCATCCTTTCTGCAGGAGAGATGCTGAAACACAAACAGGTATAAGACTAAGTCTCCACATAAAGGGAGCTCATATCCAAGGACACAAAATCAACTTTAAAAACATAAATACTGGCCTGGTGCAGTGGCTCACACCTGAAATCTTAACACTTTGGGAGGCTGAAGTGGGTAGGTCTCCTGAGCTCAGGAGTTTGACACCACCCTGGGCATATGGTGAAACCTTGTCTCTGCTAAAATACAAAAAAATTAGCTGGGCTTGGTGGCACGTGCCTGTAGTCCCAGCTACTCCAGAGGCTGAGGCACGAGAATCACTTGAGCCCAAGAGGTGGAAGTTGCAGTGAGTTAAGATCATGCCACTGCACTCCAGCTTGGGCTACAGAGTAAGACTGTCAAAAAAAAAAAAAAAAACTCTCACAGGGTCATGGAGGTTTTTGAATGAACTTGGTCATAAGAATAAATTCAGAGTTGACAGAACAGATGTCTTAGGAATGAATGCCATTCTTATGCTAGACCTTGAAGAGTAGAAAATTAAGACAAAGTGGAGGTGGTAGTCCAATTGAGAGGGGAAAATGCAGTTGAAACTTCAGAGAGTGTTGATAAAGTGAGCATGATCTTAGAAATGGAGTACTTAGACATATTAAGAAACAATAAAGACTTTACCTGTCTAATGGAAAACCTGGAGAAGTCTGTGGGAACCAGACTACAGTGGACCCTGGAGAAACTTGAAGAATCTTTTTCCTTTTCAGGAAAACAGAGATTATAGAGAAAAGTATATATGTAATGATGCTTCAGTAATGTATTTCTATATAACAAATGACTCCAAACTTACAACCACCACCACTTATTATTTATCTTGGTCCGTTTTTTGCTGCTGTAACAGAATACCATAGTCAGGGTAATTTATAACGAAAAGTCGTGTACTGCTTACAGTTTTGGAAAATGGAAAGTCTAAGGTCGAGGGGCCCACATCTGGCAAGGGCCTACGTGTAGCCCCATCCCATGGAAAGGAAGGGCAAGAGAGGGCAAAGCAAGAGAGGAGGAGGGAGGGGTTGAACTTATTCTTCTATTAGGAACCCACTCCTGAGATAACAGCATTAATCCATTCATGAGGGCAGAGCCTTCACGGCCTATTCGCCTTTTAAAGGTCTCTCATCACTGTTGCATTGGGAATTAAGTTTTCAACACATAAACTTTGGGGGACACATTCAAGCCACAACATCATTTCTCATGATTTTGCATTCTAGACAGAGTTCAGCTATTAACAGCTATTCTTCTGCTCCACGTGGTGTCTTCTGGGGCTAAGTGTTCACAATGACTTCTTTACTCATGGCTGGCACCTCAGCTAGGATGACATGAAACTCAGCCAGGATGACAGGAACAGATGGGCAATAGTCTCCTTCCAGGTAGCCTAGTTTGGGCTTATGCACAGTAGACTAGTCTCAGGGTGGTCGAATGTTTCATTTGATGGCTTCCAGGAAGGAAAAAGTGGAAGATGCCAGTCTTCTTAAAGGATGGGCCCAGAACGAACATAGTGTTACTTCTACTGAATTCTATCCGTCAGAAGAAGTCACAATGCCGGCATAGATTCAGAGCTGGAGGAGAAACTTTGCTTCTGGATGCATGCACATGCTGGGAAGGGAAGAATTGATGGCAGCTGTCTTTGGAGACTATTTACCACAAAGAGAGTACCTACTTTGGGAAGATAGAATGCTTTTTATTTAGAAAGAAAAAAAACTACATAAGGGAAGATTTTAAATCTGTGCCACCATGTATTTCAGTGACACAGAATTAGATAAACAGTACATCAGAGGAATATTTAGTGGGGGAAATAAACTTTCATATAAAACATTGAAGTGGTTTTGTATTTTTTTTTTTCTGAGATGCAGTCTTGCTCTGCCACTCAGACTGGAGTGCAGTGGCGTGATCTCAATTCAGTGCAACCTCGGCCTCCCGGGCTCAAGTGATTCCCTTGTCTCAGCTTCCTGAGTAGCTGGGATTACAGGCACCTACCACCACACCTGGCTAATTTTTGTATTTTTAGTAGAGACAGGTTTTCATCACGTTGGCCAGGCTGGTCTCGAACTCCTGACCTCAGGTGATCCACCTGCCTCAGCCTCCCAAAGTGCTGGGATTACAGGCTTGAGCCACCACGCCAGCCTGCTTTTATGTTCTTACAGTGCAACATGCTTTCCACACTTCTCACTTACTGGATCCTCTTAACACCCTGGGAGATAAGCAGGCAGGAGCCAGCCACTTTGGAACAAACTTTATCTGTAGGGCAATAGGACATCTAAAAGCCTTCTTTGTCACATCGCTGATCTGCCAACCCTGAGCATTCATCCCCTTTGCTGGTGTCCCCAAAGGGGAAAGGATAGTGGAGCTGGCACAAATCCTTCCTTTCCCACTGCCACAGCAGCCCTTAGCAGGGATCTCAGGCCTTTAGAGAAATGATTAGCAGCCATTCTTCACAAAAAACATCTGGAACTTTTGGTTAACTGGAAGTGCTAAATGAAAGTGTGCTTGCAAGGAAGGTTAGAGGGGACTGGGCTGATTGGCATTACTGACAGGGGTCCATGTGTTTTCACATGATAGCTCTCCACATTTCCTGATTGTTTCTTCAGATGCATCTAACATTCTGGTTACCCCATCCCCCCAATTTTTAATTCCAATTGTTAGAATTTTTATTCTTAAAAAATTTTTATATCATACATGTTTCTTTTTCATTTCCTATTCCCCAAAGATATATTCAATATTGTATTTTGGTTTTTATACATCAAAACTTAGCTGTTTTATAGTCTGTAGCTAACAATTCCAATACCTTAAGATCTTTACAAGTCTATTTCTTTTTGTCTCTTGTTTCTTCTATGTGACTGGTTATCTTTTATTGTGTGTTGGTCATTTATTTTGAGAAATAATGTGTAAGATATACAGGAAGCCAAATCGAAGGTAACTTTCCTTTGAAAGGCCTCTGAAAACATTCACAGTTTGACACCCGCCTTAAACCAAATTAAAGGCTTGAAGTTTTCTGGAAGACTCAGATACTCAAATTAAGGATAGCAATTTTTTACCCTCCCCATGGAGATATAGCTCTTTGACCTTCCAGTTTATCATGGTGAGTGTCTGCTGTTAAATTTCTTGCTTAGTGCTGACCCTGGTTTTTGACTAATGTTACCTCCTAGCCCCTCCCTGACCACCATCAAGTTGTCAATGTGAAAATTCAGATTTTCTGGAAATGTCTAATACCTTCAGGGAAAATACAATTTTCTTGTTTATTTCTCTGGGTTCCCACATATATTTTGCTTTATTGTTTTGTCAGATAATTGATGCTTTGAAGATATTTCCTGTATTTTCTTCAAATATTTTGGTTCTTTTCTACAGAAAAGTTAGAAAAAAGAAATCTAGCCCTCTATTCTCAGAAATAGAAAGTTCCTAACATGGGGCCGGGCACGGTGGCTCAAGCCTGTAATCCCAGCACTTTGGGAGGCCAAGGCAGGTGGATCATGAGGTCAAGAGATCGGGACCATCATGGTCACCATGGTGAAACCCCGTCTCTACTAAAAATACAAAAAATTAGCTGGGCATGGTGGCGCACGCCTGTAATCCCAGCTACTTGGGAGGCTGAGTCAGGAGAATTGCCTGAACCCAGGAGGCGGAGGTTACGGTGAGCCGAGATCGCGCCATTGCACTCCAGCCTGGGTAACAAGAGTGAAACTCCGTCTCAAAAAAAAAGAAAAAAGAAAGTTCCTAACATGTTATTCTACATGACCCCGCAATAACCTGGTGAATAATTTTCATTACTTTTACACATAGATGAGAAAACTGAGGCCCTAGTGAATTACTTTAGTGGCCAAGTAATTCACTAAAGTAACACAGCTATTAAAAACTCCTATCTCTCTGACTGCAAACATTTTCATTTATTTTATTTGGATAAAAATCAGCATCAGAACAACAACCACATCCAGCACCCAGTTCTTGGTTTCTAGCACCATCCTCCAATAAAAGGAACAGGGCCCTTAGAGAAATGGCTGGTTTTAGGGCTGGGCAGTGAATATTCAAGATGAGCCTGGAGCATCTTCTAATGTCAGAAATTAAGAAAGTGTTTGGAAAACAAGCAAACAAAAGCCTGTGATGATGGCGGTATGTTCATGGGATGCAGGAAGGAGCCAACTGAAAGAGCTCCCTCTCAGTGGCCAAGGTTGGAACAATTTGAGCAACAAAATAATGTAATATTGGGGGTTGTAACTCCAAGCATGTAGTAATTAAGCCCAAGTCCATAATGATATGAATAAATGATTAAACAAATAAATAAATGGGGAAAAGACAAGTCTTCCTTGCAGAAGAATCCCAAATAATATGTGTAGCTTCTCCCTCCATAAGGTAAAGCTTAATTCCCCTTCTCTTTAGTGTGGGTTGGACTTTAATGACTTGCTTTTATTTTAAAGTCTAGATTATGGAAAAAACAAATACTTATTTTACAATGGAGAAACCTGTTAGAGCCTACCCTAA